ATAGTTTATGTCATGTCGACGAACCCTGATTGTTCTTAGGGGTGAAAACTACCCCTAATTGTCAAAAATTATAAAATAACATATTAAACCTGAATGTGGGTAAAATTTGGTTTGAATTAATTAAATAATGATAGTTTCGTGCTTTTCAATAAAGTTCCATCATATTTCAACCCTTAAAAAGCGACCCTCATTAGAGATTAATATAAAAAAATTAGTAATGCGAAGAAAATGATTTCACCTTGAAAAGACTTGCATAAAAATTTGGAATTAAGCTCAACTCACCCTCTGCTTTATAGTTTATGTCATGCTAATGAACCCTGATTGTTCTTAGGGGTGAAAACTACCCCTAATTTTCAAAAATTGTTAAATAATATTACAAATCCTAAAATGAGTGAAATTTGGTTTGGATTAGTTAAATAGTGAGTTTTTTATACTTTAAAATACAAATTCATATAACTTTTCAACTTTTGAAAATCACCCTTTACAACATTGAAGTTTTTATAAACTAATTTATAAGATATAAATTGAAAAAAGTAGAATTAAATACAAAAAAAAAATATCAACATAAAAAGGCACCATATATTCTTATACATTTACATAAATAGTTGAAAATATTTACATTTATAGGTAAAACAATTATAATATTAACTTTATTCGTCATCAATTACATCTTCATCGTGATCTATGTCATCATCATCTTCCTCAATTATTGGTGGACTGTTATTGCACCCTTCACCTGAGCACCCAGAACAAGTAGAGTTACAGTATAAACCAACTTTTCTGCACCCATATGAAACGCCGCATCCTTTTTTGCATTGGCAAAAAATAATTTTCAAAAATTTATCGGGTACAGATTGTTTGTTCATGCGTACGGGTAATAACAAACCATCTTTGGAAAACCATCCCCAATCTGTTGCTCTGATATTTTCATTGCCAAGCCATAGACATATGAGCAGATGTTTTATTATGTTGTATGGGATTTCAAAATAAGAACGCTTAAAATTTCGAATGTATAACGCCCCACTAGCTAATATACCGGTTTTGTAGATTATTATGCTCCGAAATGTACTGTACTATACTAATGGAATTTTCCGGAAAAAAATTAACTGGTTTTTTTAACGTATTTCCTTTAATTTTTAACGATAGATGTTTCTTCAAAAACGATTTATAGAGGTTTTTAATAGCTACAAGGATCTGTGAATTAAATCTTTTTGGAACCCTTGGTTTTTAAATGGGGTGAGTTCAAAGGGCTCGAAAAAGGTGGTGCTTGATCGTAAATCGATGCTTTAAACGGCTATATCTCGCCAAATATTCATTGTACAACAAATCTAAATAAAGGATAATTTTAGTCATTAAAAAAGCTACAATTTGGTAATTTTTATTTTTTTCATATATTCAGTATTTTCGGGCATATTTAAAAAAAGAAGGGTAAAAAATATGAAATTGTAAAACGTTTCTCGCTTTAAGCTGTACTTTTTCTAAAACTAAGCATTTTAAATAAGTCAAACTTCTTGGAAGTATTAACAATACATCTACAAAGGGAATTGCAGAAGGGTGAAGATCGATTTTAATTATGGGGGTGGTTAGGGTGTTGTTTTCCTCGATTTTTTCGTAAAAAATGAGGTATTGACCTTATTTTTTTATGATAGGTCTATTTATGCTCTTTAAAAAAGGTTTTGTGAGTTTTCTTCCAAAAATGCATAATTTTCCCGATATTTGACTTTGAATCTTTCAAATTTGGCATTTGAAGAAAACCGCTGAACATTGATATTGTCTTTGTAATTGTATTTGTCTTTTTAAAAGCTACAAATTTGTTCTCTACAATTTTTTTGATAAAATGCACCATTTTCGAGTTATTCGCGAAAAATCGATTAAAAACGTGGATTTTTTCGTCTAAAAGTTGTTACTTTCAATCGCGAATAACTTGAAAAATATCATTTTATAAAAAAAATGTATAGCACATTTTTTGTTTAGAATCACTTTTCTAATCGAAACCTGTAGTTAAAACGTAAAAAAAAAATTCACCCCGGAGATGGGGTGGCAACCACCCCCTAGGCTTTGGCGCACTTTGGTTCGATATAGATTTTGATCCTTAGGCTATTACCTACCTTCTGTTAAATTTCAAGTCAATCCACGCCGCACGAAAAAATTGCGAGGTGAAATGCTACATTTCCTGGACTATAACTGGTTTGACAGCATAATCGTAGATTTATGTGTAGCTTTCAATTTTTATGAGTTCAGAATCCAGCAGTCCGCTGAAGTATGGGATTTTTTATAACATAATTATTTGACAATCTTTTGTTGGCCAACCAGCTACATCAGAATTGAGCCGAAATACATTATATTCCTATGTTCCGAATTTATTTCGTTCAATCTGTATATACATATATATATATATATATATATATATATAATATATATATATATATATATATATATATATATATAGCTACATCAGAATTGAGCCGAAATACATTATATTCCTATGTTCCGAATTTATTTCGTTCAATCTGTATATACATATATATATATATATATATATATATATATGTTTGTTTTGAGGTTTCCGCGGGAGCTATATGTGCTGTCACTATTTTTCCAGGTTTGACTCCGGGTTGTAAAATGCTGGTTTTCTTGAAAACCATTGTTTTGGCGACGTTTCGGCAAGGTCTCACTTGCCATTCTCAAGCCTGGTGGATCTACTTCTCGTCGTTACTCGATTAGTACTGGATCAGTACTAATCGAGTAACGACGAGTTGAATAGAAAAGATTCAACAGTCGGCCGGCACACGTGGCCGTTGAAAACTTTTTAACTGTCTTTTTCTTATGTGTTAAAGTATAATAATTTATCAAGTTTGGTCTTTTACACCATGCAATTTTTATATATTTTAAATTTGACTCAATCAATGAGTGGTGCGTAAAATTGTCACCTGTGAGTGAAACATCCACGAAAGACGAACCTCACTAACTTTTTTCCTGATGATGAAAATAAATATTTTCGAAAGCTTGAAACTTAGTTAAAAGAGTACATTTATTTCACCGCTGAAAAACCTCAAAGTTCCGTTTTCTAACGTTGTCAGCAAAGACTTCTTTTCCTTTATATATATATATATATATATATATATATATATATATATATATATATATATATATATATATATATATATATATATAATACAGTGCTTTTCAGATAAAACTATCCACCTTAAATAACTTTTGAACCTCTAATTTTTTGGAAAAACGCAAAAACACGTCAATTAATATCTTAAAGGTTGCGGGAAAATGCACCCTCTCACCCCCTGTATCAACCCTTTATTTTTTTTATATTACTTCACCCTTTTTTTGTTTTATATTTGGATTCTCCTTTTTGTTCTAATTTCAAAAATGTATAATACCTTTGGTTTGAAGTGATTAGTTTATCAGATAGACAATTTTCCTGTTAACAAGACAGTATCCCACTCACCTTAATTGACTCTAACAAAATAGGTTGTAGCATAATTTAAACTCTTTAAATATTTAACCGTACTATTTGTAGTACCTTTAAAAACCAAGAAACAAAAAAATTCACTTTTTATTCAAGTTTTATCAAAGGTTTTCAATATCATTTTTACATTTGTTTTAATCAGTTAATAGCGACAATTTGTTATAACTTGTAAGTAACAGCGTATTTTGATACGTGTGCAATTTGATCGCTGAAATGGTGTACACTTTGCAAGAAAGAATCGAAATTGTAGGTTTATACTACAAAAATAATAATTGTGCAAGAGCTGCTGCTAGAATTTTTAATGAAACACACCACAATAGACATGCAACTCATAAGTGTGTGATTGAACTGATGCAGAAAAAATTAGATCAAGAGGGTCAGTTTGCAATAAAAAACATAACCGAGACGAACTTGTAAATAAAAAAGCAATCCAAGTAGCTGTTTTAGGGCAAGTTAACTTAGACTCTTAACAATCACAGTCACTGTCAACAATAAGCAGAGCAATCGGTATTTCATCTTCTACAGCCTTCCAAGTCCTCCATAAATTTAAGTTTTATCCATATAAATCTGATGTAAGAGGTCTTGGTTTATCTGTTAGTTGACCAAGATGAAAACCATTAAAGGTGCTGTTTGTTAGACCTATTTTATTAAGAACTGCTTGGATCTCATTTCTATCATGTTCAGCACGAATGTTAGATTCTCTGGAATGGTTTTCAGGTACATTATATATAAATATATTTTGGGCTCTCCGGGTCCTGTCCTGTATCTCCCCCAAAACCGCATCTGTACCTTTGACATCAGCACAATTTTGAATGTTGAATGAATCTTTTTTTTTAGATTATTATAGATTGTTTCAATACTTGTTTTTAAACTTTTCATCTCCACACTTGGCCCATCTGACCAATTTCCTCCTCTAATTCAATAATATTCTGGATGCTGGCAATTTTCACTTTACCTAAAGTGTTTTCAAGTGCACTGACACAATTGCTTAGGTTTAGGGCATTCATAATTCCAGGTAGACAATCCTTACACAAGTAAGGCATGATTCTGGTATTCTGGAAATATGGGTCTATAGAAGAATTCTACACATAACCTGGACAGAACACAGAACCAACCTGTCAATTCTGGAAGAGCTTCATATGAAGACAGACTATTAAAAAAAGTAAACCAAGTATATCTAATTTACTTTTGCCACATAGCTAGAAGAGTGGGGACTATGGAACTATTGGTAGTAGAAGGAAAGGTAGAGGGCCGAAGACCAAGACAAAGATCTCCACGATGAGCACACCAAATGAAGACTCTCAATAATATTTAGAGTGTCACCACACCCTGACAAGGTGTAAAGGAATGAGAAGGAGGAGGATCCTACCTCACTACACCATCTGATATACTTTATTGACTGTGTTTTCAACTTTATCAATAGAAAATTACAAAGTTTGTACTCTCATATGGAAGTGGAGTGACAGGCCTCACCACTACACTGAAGGTTAAAGATGTGGGAAAAAAATTTTCTTACCAATGCCAATGCCATGGTCCTCCAATTCTTTTTTTATTTCAACCTTAATTTCATTAGTTACATCTTCTAACATATTGTTTTCTATTTTAATATCATCTGAAAAATACTGTGGATTACTGGTTTCAAAGTAGCATTCCTTTACTTCAGATTTAATTTCTATTTCATGATATTCTTTTAGACAATCTCCTTCATTTTTAATGCATGTTGATATATGTTCGTTTTTAGAATCTGTAATATTTTCATGAAATTCCATATTGAATTAAAATAACTTGAATATTAATGAAAACAATATGCTGTGTACTGTGTTTTGAACTTTCAAAACAAACAGAAACAGCTTGGTTCACAGACCACTAATAACGCTTGGTTGTCCTTGTCAATTGTTATAGTAGTTAGTGTTGTTACGTCTACGTGGCTACGTGCTGTGGTGCATCTGTGGTGCATGGAGTAATAAAAAAAGAGAAAGAAATTACTTTTTTACAGAATCTTTTATTACTCGATACTGTGGTGGTTGGTTGGTTCTCCTGTGAGTCAATTGTTGCCAAGCCAAAAACGATCTATCGTTTTAACTCTTTGGGTTTTAGTGTTGCCAATCAACGTAAAATTATCCGATTTGCGGATCTTTTTGAGAGTTGTCGTATCTTCTTCGTATCTCTTCGTAAATTGGATATTTGCGTATATTTTTCAGTACATCTATCAATCTACTACAACAGACTAACAACAAAAAAAAACTTTATGGTTTGTAGTTATTTCCTTTCTTTCTTGTAAATATGTTATGATTAGAGGTTACCACTTATTTGGGTTGGGGAATGAATCTGATTACGAAACTCATGATCGAGAAAAAATAATCAACCGTTGCGATTTTAGGACAGTCTTGCTATCTTTTGTTATGTTAGGTAGAGGCATCGAGCAATAAGACAAAAGAGGGAATGTAATCCTTATGGAAAGGAGACCAAAAAAGTGGCCTCTGATGGCGGACATATCCGGAAATGCGAATGCGCGAAATTTAAATTTTGCGACACTTATCAACAGTAGCTATATAATATTTTTCAGAATGTGTCTTAGACGAGAAAGTTTTAATTAATTATTAATGATAAGAGTCTAAAATGCGACACAATTGTTAAAAAACTTCAATATAAATAAGATTTCATGTGACATTTGGGACAAACAATAACATAACCCAACTAAATTTGATGTCAAACAAGGAGAGAGACTCTCTATCCTTGTTTAAAGTGGCCTCTAAAGATCGCACTTCCTGTCTAACAATATGTTTGCCCCCACTACCTTTACATTCCCTCTATTATTGTCTTTTTGCTCGATGGGTAGAGGACACTAAAGATGTAACATCTAAGAATTCTTATGCGTATATTTATACTTAAAGATAAGTTGCAGAGAATCTTCCCAAGACTGTTAAAAGAGCTTCTGGCTTTTTCAATTCGAGTTTTTATTTCGTAGCTATGATCCCAAGTATCCTTAAATTTGCAGCCCAAATATCATATTTTCTCCACTTTTTCTAACAGTGTATCGTTAATTGTAATTTGGGCGTTTATGTTGGTGTTCTTGCTAATGATCAATATTTTTGTCTTCTTACAATTTAGTTTTACGCTGTATTTGTTACATGTTTCTATAACATTATCCATCATCCTTTGAAGCCCCTGCGCACTATCTGCCAGCAATACAGTATCATCTGCCTAGCTAATGGTTTATAAGTTGGCCATTTACTGCAATACCATCTTCTGATTCGACCAAGGCTAAAGATATTTTTAGAGTATTATTAAATAATGCTGGTGACAGTATGCAAACCTGTCTAACTCCTTTTGCGACTGTGAAGATCTCGGACAGTTCATTTTCGAATCATACTGTTACTTTTTGTTGGAGATATAAGTTCGAGATCAGACTTTTACCATCGAGTCCTGATGTCTTTAGGATATCAATTAGTTTCCCCTGTGGACTTTATCAAATGCCTTCTCGAAATCAATAAAACAAGCGTACACATCTCAGTTGACATGTCTGACTCTCTGTATTAGAACTTGCAGACTAAAAAGTGCTGCCCTGAATCCAAATTAAAATTCAGGTGTTCTTCTAATTTGGTGTATGTATATAATAAATCTTTAGCTATTAAAATGTAACTAACTAACTGTTTTGTTTTGTATTAATCTATTTATTATTTATTTTTGTAGTAGTCTTAGTTCATTATTACGTTTTAATAAAATAATATTTAAAACCGTTTTTTTACTTAAAAATAATAAATAAAATGATCGAAAATAATGAAATATTTAGATAATTCAACACTTACAATAATACAAAATATACAAATTAATCAGCCAGGATACGATTGAGTCAGGTGTTCAATAAAAATTTATTTTTCGTTAATTTTTGGATGATTTTAATTTATAAACTGAAATTTTTAAAATAAACGTTAAAACAGAAAATCATAGATTAAAATTTTTTTCTGTACACAGATAAAAGAATAACATCGGCAACATTGATTTTAATTACGGAATAATTTCTGACATATCGTATCTTTTCGTGACAAATCGGATCTTTTTCGAGGGATCATCGGATAATCTAGAGAAATGTGGTTGGCAACACCTAGAATCATCGAGAGATGCGAGTTAGTAGATTCTAACTCGATGGATAGAATAAATTGTTATTAGAAAAGCGGTAGATTTAAACTAAAACAGGAAATATATCGGTTTGTTACATTTTTACTTTGTTTAATAATATTTGCTGCAAATTACTAACTTTTTTTAGTCTTTATAATCACGCCGTGTTACATTCTATTGATATGCTTGCTACAACTTTCTCTATATAAAGAGAACATTCGTTGTTTTGGGTATTTGTGGAGGTATAGGAGGTTGTTTTGATTAAAGCGCTGTAAATTTAAGGAATCTTGTGTTATTGTTGACACAATAGGTTGTGTAGGTACTTATGTACGTTGCTACATTGGGTTGATTCACTTTACATTGTCAAAAGTTTGGTTTTAGGTACAAATATAGTAATTTTTGACTCACCCTGTATTTGTTGAAGAGAAGCTTCTCTACTGCCGGTATATTACATTTTATAAATAGTAAAATGCTGAAGGGAGCGTCAAGAAAGTTGCGCGACGACACATCGTCACGAAAGTAACGCCACGAAATAGCAGTCATGGTAAACAATTGGAAGAATCCATTTACGCGACGAAGGGAAGCCGTTATATAATTTAAACATACTTGGACCAGGAGGACTTCTTAGCTTGTTTTATAATAACCTGTGTCTCATAAACATGATTTTATTTTCAGGAGTTTTATGTCTCTTATATTATTAATTGCAGTTTTACTTGCTCTGACAGCAGCTCCACATTCTGAGTTCCACTAAGGTACAGGATATTTTACATTTTATTAAGAGTTATATTGGTTTACTTGTAATTTTCAAGATCTGTCAAACTTTTTCTTGCCACAAGTTCATAAATAATTTTCTTTTCTTTATTTTTGACTTTTTTCCAACTATTTCAACAGAACTTATATCTCTAATAGTACTAACCAATTTCCATAAATTGTATTAGGTCTGCTTCATGTTCCATCTCATTTTTTTACATTTTTGCCCAGCACAAACCTTTTTTATTATGTTAACATCTATAATTTTGATATTTTGCGCTTATATTCAATATTGGCTGCGTTTTGTCTCTTATGTTAATGTCCAGTACGAACAACTTACGTTCTTGGCTTACAGTCTCAGTATTATTAGCCCAGTCTGGTTAAAAAAAGGTCGAAAAATGTTTCTCAGATTTCTGAAGCTTTTAAGACATAGGTGGGGGATACTAGATGACGAATAGATGAAAAGGTACTCGTATTTTTACCTTGCGTCTTTTTTAAACAATAATTTATGGTCACAATTTGATTTTTTGTCCAAGTTTTTTCCCTTATATTTTAAATAAACAATATAACATTTTTGTATATCAAGAATATTTTTATTTTCCCGTTTTTTCAATTAAAATTAATAAATAATTTACGGAGATATATTTGCAAAAAAGCAGTTTTTTTGCACTAATTTATAAATTTTAATAATTTTTTTATTAACAAAATACAATGTTATTAAAACATTTGAATATCAAGGAATTACCGTCTCTTAAATTTGTGCGAAATTTCCCCCTAATCGGTCAAATAGTTAATTAATTTATTTATCCTTGAGGCTAATTATTTAAACCATTGAACTTGCCCTATGAATGATGCTATACACATTTAGCAAATTTCATAGGATTCTTTAAGACTTAAATTATCTCAGAAGTTAATGCATATTGCGTTTTCATCGAAATTGTTTACAAAATAAACGTTTGAAAAAGGGGTATGTTTAAACTTATAAACAATTGTAATAACTTCTATATTTTTTAAGCTACAGACTTGTACACACGACTATTGGATAGCTGGTAAAATTACTCATATTTAAAAAAACCTATGACCAATAGGAACAAAGTTAGCGAATATTTTTTAAAAAAATCATATCTTAATTGTTTATAAACATTAAGAAGTAAAATTTGCACAAATTTTGAATGAAAATCTGAAGTTTATATTGCAACATAGCTATAAAATTAATCCAATTTTTCGAAACTTAACAACCCTTCGAAACGAAGGTACTTTCGAAAGATCGACATAAGGAAGTGAAGAGGATAACTGTTTCAGCTGTTTTTTTTTTCGACATCGGAACTTCAAATAGAAACACGTAGAAAAAATTTACATGATCTCGGCTTTCATTGCGGCTTTTTTTATTCTGGGGTAGCTCGTCGAAATATGAATAACTACATAGTTTTCACTGGCCGGAAAATATGGGAAACCTATAAAAAACTTTTTTTTTTTAATTTGGTTGGAATAGTCTGACTAGTTAGAATAGATGACATAATTTTCACCCCTCCAACTTTTTTCATTTTATATCAATGATGTAATATTACTTTGTATATTATATTACTTATATTAATTAAAATTGTTTGTATTTTAATAATTAACAATATTGATTTTTATTCTATTTTTCGTACAAATATGATATATAATATTAATCTAATCTGCGTTACAGCTTTGATAAAATAAGTCGATTTTTCATCACTTATCTTATTAAATTTTGCAATGTTTATTGAACTTTACATTTTTTATTTTCTTTACACACATTGGTTAAAAAGTTAAAATTTGGTTCATTCATTCGACTTCACTGTCAGCTCTGAACATTTTTGTTGCAGGTTGTTTGTCTTCACTTATTAAATCAGTCTCTAAATATACATCTTTAGAA